TTGTCCTACTTGAGGGCGAGGCGACCAGCAGGTCGCTTTTGATAGCTGGCGTATTCGCGATGTAGCACCCCATCCGTGGAACAAACCAGTGGTGTGAACGACCCACGGAGGTCCTCGGAGGCCCGACGGTACTTCTTTTTCTTCGCGTTAGCAGCGCGGTTGGAAGTAGCTTCCCAGGATGAATGGGAGTAACTGGGTGCGTTGGCATCAATGATGCGATTATCAAAAAACGCCACCCTGTTATCCTCCCATACACCCCGGGCAAGCCAATCTGCCCGAAAACCAGGCTGCCCCGTCCGATCACCCTCCTGCACCATGATCAGCTCGACGACAACACCACCGAATGCCATATCAGCTAGCTTTGAATCGCTATCACGCAGATCATTGTGGCCTCGCTTGATAAGTCCACCCTTCGGGCAGTCAAGGCGTGTCAATGGGTACCGGGTATCATACATTCGCCCTCCTCCTCCAAAGGGTCCGGAAAATGCATAAGCATTACATACTATGATCATGCTGGCTCCATCCCTTATCTCCTAAGCTACTACCCCCCCCCCCCTCCGGTGCGTCTGCCCAGTGTTGACTCCGAGACCCACGGTCGGACGAGCTGCCCAGGCCTCACCACCACTGCCGTTTCTGTGCTGCCTTCTCGATACATACGTATGTACACTGTATATCATATGCACATTCACATGTCTGAAGGCTTGTGGTTTTTAAATAAAAAAATTTAAAAATACAGTTCTGGGCTGTTGTCGCTAGGCATTGGCGGATAATGCTCGAAAAGGTGGCAGATTCTGCTCAAAAAGGTGGCAGATTTTGCTCGAAAAGGTGGCAGATTCTGCTCGAAAAGCAGTGAAATTGGCAGAACCATACAAACCCTATGGCGGGCAATTCCTCGAATTCTGCTCCATTTCTTTATCCACATACCAACATGCATGAAACGTACCAGAAAAGTACCGAATTCTGCCAATTTTTCTGCCGGCATTATCCGCATATGCCTAGTTATCGCACAGTACAGGCTCGTAGGAGTATAATTGTGTCTTTCTTAGTTTCATCCTCAACTTTGACGTAAACTAAAGGGTCGTGCGACACCAAGTTGGATGAAGTCATAACGCCACTAACGGTAAGAAGATCTTTTCCCTACTCCCTAGCACATCATGTACATGTATATGTATCTGGTTGTCATCATGACATTGTTACCAAAAGTGCAAAACAGGGGGTGGGGGGGGGGGGGAGAAGCCTTTCAAGGATTAGGTAATCCCCATGTCACCAGTACCGGATCAGGTTAGCAGATGATGTCGTACAGTCCTATACATCTCACTCTCTCTCTCTCTCTCTCTCTCTCTCTCTCTCTCTCTCTCTCTCTCTCTCTCACTCTCTCTCTCTCTCTCTCTCTCTCTCTCTCTCTCTCTCTCTCACTCTCACTCTCTCTCTCTCTCTCTCTCTCTCTCTCTCTCTCTCTCTCTCTCTCTCTCTCTCTCTCTCTCTCTCTCTCTCTCTCTCTCTCTCGCTCTCTCTCTCTCTCGCTCTCGCTCGCTCTCTCTCTCTCTCTCTCTCTCTCTCTCTCTCTCTCTCTCTCTCTCTCTCTCTCTCTCTCTCTCTCTCTCTCTCTCTCTCTCTCTCTCTCTCTCTCTCTCTCTCTCTCTCTCTCTCTCTCTCTCTCTCTCTCTCTCTCTCTCTCTCTCTCTCTCTCTCTCTCTCTCTCTCTCTCTCTCTCTCTCTCTCTCTCTCTCTCTCTCTCTCTCTCTCTCTCTCTCTCTCTCTCTCTCTCTCTCTCTCTCTCTCTCTCTCTCTCTCTCTCTCTCTCTCTCTCTCTCTCTCTCTCTCTCTCTCTCTCTCTCTCTCTCTCTCTCTCTCTCTCTCTCTCCCTCTCTCTCTCTCCCCCCAACCACTCTTGGTGCGTCTAGGTGGCCATGAAGTCGAGACCCTAGGTCGGCGGAGCTCCCTAAACCTTACCACCACTGCCACGATTCAGGTTGTGTGTGCTTCCCCAAGCTGCATCTCATGTTTGGCATTTTAAGTGGTCTTATGAAAAAAAACACACACAAAACATGTACATTGTAATTTGTAGTTTAAAAGACCTGGACATCGGTAACCACTTTCCCCATAGAACGGTGGTTTAACCTACAATGTACAATGTACAGTGTAGCTCCAGTACCAGTGCAAGCCTTGGGGTATAACTCGCACCAAAAAGGCTGTAGATGATGTACAATGTACACATGTACATGTATGATGTAGATGAGAAGTAAGCTTGACTGGACAAGGATTCGTGCAATACATAGCCTGGAAGAAGGGGATGTCAACATACATGCACATGTACATGTAAATGTACGTCTTTGGGTAGGGCCACATTCTCAAAATATCAGCAGAACCTTCCATTGCAGGAGGAAAGGCGAAAAGGTCTTCTTTGTGTTTGTTGTGTTGTGTTTGGCTCTATTTAAGAGTGGAGTTCCAAAACAGGCCTAAACCTAATGTCAAGTAATGACAATGGTCCCACTGATAATAAGAGAAAATAAAAATAATATTTTTATTATATAAAAATATGCGGACAAACAGAACAGAGAAGACTCTTTGACTTATGCACGTACGCATGTACATGACTGTGCATGTAGATCTTCTCGTACTTACATTGTATACATGTACATGTACATTGTATACATGTGAAGAGGTTCCCTTTCGGGTGAAGAGAGAGCTCAACACCAAAAGGTGGAGCACTATTGCACACAAAAGGCATAGAGGAGGTTTTTGTGTGTCCCAACTCTGAGCCTTTCGTATTGAGCAAGAAACTCGGAGTTGCCACAAACTCTAAAAAACCTCCTTTGAGCCTTTTTAATATGCACATTGAATACCGTATTTTAAAACAGGAAACAAGGAAAACGGCGGGGCACAGGGTACCGGGTATGCGTTAGATTCCACCAACTAAACCATATTTTGAACAGTCAGACAGTCCGGTGCTACCTTGTGCACGTCTGACTGTTCAAAAATATATTATAGTTCAGTTGGTGGAATCTAACGCATAACTTGTGCCCCACCGTTTTCCTTGTTTCCTTAAAAAAAATTAAAAAATTTCCTTGGCTCACCATCCGAGTGTAGAAATATTCATCATCATCATCATCAGCCCTCTCGCGTTGGCATCGGCGTTAGCCTAGCCTACGCTCGGGCCACACCCAATGTTAGACATGCCACCAGAAGGGAGGGAGGGAGGGAGTTAGGCCTCGACCAAATATGCTTACGCATATTTCCGCATATTTTGTGAGACAGGTCATATGGCATATTGAGCGACAAAGGGAATATTGGAATGAAGCCAGCATATAATTCAAATATTCTGAAGAAAATGAGGACAAAACATTCATATTATGGACAAATGCGTTCAGAAATGCCTTTTATGGATGAATTTGGAATTGTTGAGGCGTTTGCTACATTTCCCCATGGATGAACACTATCGCTATGGTTGCTGGGGACACACCCCAGCCATACTATTCCGCATGTGTTTTGATTTGCACCATAAGCATGATAGCCGTGAAGCCAATGAATATTCCAATGTTGTAATTTTACTGAAATGATCTACACTTTCTGCTTATGTCGAGCATATTTTGGCATATTTTGGCATATCTTTTTGCATATCTTGCTAAGCCTTTGGCATATTATGGACGTTTTCCCTGATATGCGACGAGCATAATATGCTCTTTTTTTAGCATATTTGGTCGAGGCCTAGAGGGAGTGTATTAGTATTATTGTTTTTTTTGTTGACTTTGTCATGATGGTGCTCTTTTTCCCGATACCCATCATTGTTGCAACATTTCTCTTTTTCCGGATCCCGTAGTGGTCGCCATCCATCTTCTATGATTCTCCCTAAGTCTGGTACATACTTCACTCTATCCCCTCTATTTTGTCTCGGTGTAGCCTGGAATAAGCTGCCAGAAGAAATCCGCTGTCTGACATCCGCTAGCCGATTTACTGTTGCTGTGCGTAGACACTATCTGCATCACAAGTATTCTGTGCAAGGACATAGGTAATTAGGTATACCGAATTTTTGCAAGTACAATGTAGCTTCTGCTGTTCCTGTTTGTATTATTTATATTTTTTCACCTCGTCATGTCCCTTCTTCCCTCTCTCATAACAGCCACCTTCACTTCCTTTCCCCAGGAGATTCCCTTTGATAGGCATCCATTTGCCTCTGGAGAATCCTTGAAAATATAATATCAATATCAATAGATAACGTTACTAGCAGAAATTCCTCCATACATCTGTTTTAATCATACGGATCTCATCAGTCAAGGCCGCAAGAATATTGAATGGCTAGAACTGAACGGGCCGAAAGCTGCTGCTTACTATCCTGACTAAGTTTAAAAGCCTTCCTCAAATTGTCAGCAGGTGTATGGCTAAAAATTCCAAATTTCGACATGAGCTGCAGGTCACTCACGTTGTTTTCCAACACGCGGCCAAATAGCGCGAGCTGAACTTTCGCGTCACTTCAAAATATCGTGCATCTTAACCTCTCTAATGTTCAACAAGTGGTGAGGCCGCGGTGTTCATGGAGACATCTGAGCTTGAGGAGAAATCTTTAACACGGAAATTTGCCCAGTATCCCATTGCCTTCATGAGAGAAAGTTTGAATCTATGGGAGTATGGGTGTCCAAACCCCGCAGCCTTGATACAATCAGCAAGTAGTGGAAGTACACCCAAAACCTATTGAGGGCAGCAGACAAATTCAAGAAGATAAATATTTCGGTTCGCAATCATTACGACAGCCCAAATTGATTTCCTGACGGCAGTGTGTTTCCACCGGCTACTGTCCAATATCTCAATCCAGCAGTCGTCAAGTTGCTACTTGAAGTATCGAGGGAAAATCAAACATGATCAGATCTAAACACACAGCGGTACATCTGCGAATACTGATCAAGACACAGCAGTATACAATGTACATGCAAACACTGCTCAAGACACAGAAGTAAACCTGTGAACATTGGTCCTTGACTGTCTTGATCTTCCAGAAATGCCATTCACCTTGGCCAGGAAATCGAATTCCACATAGTTGCCTCCAGCTGTTCGTGCGACAATGGCATTGGTACACCGTAGTCAACATTCGCCGTCCAAAAGGCTACCCCCCTCACGGATAATGACCCTGCATACTCGCACTTCACAGATATCGACTGCTTGTCATCGTACCACACACGGTGTCTCGCCGTGCCATCCATGAAGTCAAAGTAAGGACACTCGGAGTTGCTATCCCACAAGCGGCCAGTGGAGCTATGAGGTAATCTGTTCAGTATCGCATCAGCCAGCGAATGCTGTGACGCAGATTCGGAGAACGGCTTACTGCTGTAGCACGGGTTCTTGACTGCTTCCGCCATGCCGGCCGGCGTGGAGTTGTCGCAGCGGAAGTAGTACGCATACCACGGGAAGCCCATGACGATTTTGTTTGCCGGCACGTGCTGGTCGAACGTTGGCTGGAGAATGCAATTCATGGCTTGTTTGGTGGCCCACAGCGGACTGTTGGCATCCGCAAAGCCACTCTTGCCATAGTCGTTCATATCATAGTTCATGGTGATGAGGAAGTCCGCTGCCTCAGCCAATGCAGACCAGTTATAGCCGGTAAAGCTGTAGACGGGCATAGGGATATAGGGCATATCCAATGAGAGTTGACACACAGGACACACACCACGGATTCCTGCCGCCAGCAAATGAATGAGCTCCGTGAACTGGCTCTGGTACGCATTGAGTCCCTCGATGTCCACGTTGACGCCGTCAAGTTTCTCCGCCTCGACTTTGGCAACGAGGGCGGCGACAAGCGACTGTCTCGCCGTGCTGTTCTGCAGCCACGGACAGTCAGCCTCCCAGCAGCCATACTGTATAACGTAGACAACTCGCACACTGTGTGCGTGTGCAAAGCACACTAGGTCCTGCGACACACGATTGTGTATGTCATCCAGTACAGCCACAGTTGTTACCTTGGTCCAGTCGTAGTGCTGCCACGTATCACCATCCCCGGGCACGTACCACACAAGAACTTCAGGCCTACTGGAACTGACGTTCACAGGTCGACAGAGATCGTTCCCATCGGCACCTTGTCCAAGATTCATTGACTCATTGAAACGGCTACAATTGCATTGGTACTGAGTCCGGCGAAGAACCAGCGCTTCTAAATTTGCCCCGCTATTCTCTGTGGAATGTATCGTTCGCAGGCGGTTTCTTGCAGACCCTGGCATGATTTGTGAATTTCTAGTCCATAATTCCGAGCAAGGTTGCACATCATCAACAGCGACAGCGGTGGCAACAATAATATTTTGAGTGAGCCACATACTGCAAACCACGAATGGGAGCAGCTGCATCGCCATCATGGCTGCAGCAGATGATATGATGGTATCGTCTTCAGCGTAATCAATACAATGTCATGTATCGTCCAATCGCCGTCAAGGTAATACGTTGATAGCTCGCAAGTCGAACGCAGACCATCGGATCCCTTTGAAAATCATCAGAGAATGAGGGCGGTCAACGTCAACGCCTTCCTGCGTACACTGCCACGGAAAGCTATGAGTGGATGTTACACAACGAACGAACCTACAAGGCTACATGAAATCTTTGCGTCCTTTTCTCACCACAATCAATTTTATCTGCTGGTTCGTGAAAGAGTAGTAGACCTACTCAGTACATGGTCTACACAGTCGGTCTACACCAGGGAGTAGTAAAATGTATTTTACTACTCCCTGGTCTACACTGTCTGTCGAAGCTGCTGCAGCAGCAGCGACAACCGATGATGCCTGCGAGCGTGATTTTGTCATGGGAGTTTCTCCGCAGCTCCAAGCAGCCTCTGAGCTACTCAGAAATACAGGACATGCAAGCCTTTTCTCCTGCGTGAGTTTCCTACCTTGTGAGTTGTGTTAGCCTTGTGGGATGACCATTCGGGATACGCAAACGGTCGGAGTGTCCAGGCCGCAAAGTCTGCCGGACTCCGTCTCAGGAGACTGACACTGTGACAGCATACTCGCATCGCTGACCCTAGCCGGCCTAGGCCTAGCGGCCCTGTGTCCTGATGTAATCAGTTCTGTGAATGCCCTATCTGTCTCAGCGTCTATTCGAATGGTACAGATACTAGATAGTATAAATAGCAGTCCTGTAGATTCGCCGCGTGGAGTGAATGGCGTAATTCATCGGGGAAAGGATTTGGCCGTGACAGGATCAAACCTCCCTTTGTATTCAAGAGATGTTATCTACCTGGGACACTTTCACTGTGAGGCAGGCAGCTGACTGCCCCTTCCTTCAAACTAGCCTGCATGTGCCCAACTCTGTGGTCTGTGCCGATAGAGGCAGTCATTGCCTAATACATGTGTGTTCTAGCACCTACTGAAAGTACAAGTACAAAACGTCCTCTTATTATTGTTTGAAAGTACAAGTACAAAGTAATACATGTACAGCTGTACCTGCATGTTACATGTGCAGTACATGTACATTTATGATGATATATTATTCTTTTATTCCACGATGGCGTGACGCCAATAAGGACGATTGATAAGTGTGATAGAACTGGTACTAGCCAGAAACAGCTAGATGGAAATTAACCGGGAGGCAAGAAGCAATGGATCATGAAAAACAAGCAGGGGCAATAACGTTAGCAGGGGTGATCGAGAAAGTTAATTACACGTTTGAGATATCAGAAACCAGGGGGATGCGCGGAGCAGGAACAGGTACTGCTCAAAAGAAGACTGGATGCATTGTTTCGGAAAGAACTTCTACGAGGTTGGGTTGTGATGTCAATAGGGAGTGAGTTGTAGAGGGTGAGGGCACTGTTGATGGGGGAATTTTGGTGCCTGTTCGTGTGTGCGTGTCCGATGGAGTAGGTCCTTGTCTGTCGAAGGGTGTATGGTTGGTGTTGACGTTGTGGTGCAAGATGTGGTTGTTGCAGGTGTGGTGGGGAGGTTTGGTGGTGGATGTCCCATGCTAGTAGGACTTGTTTAACAGGGAGTCGTGAGCTAAGGGTGGGAAGCTTTGCGTGATGGAGGAGGGAACTGTGGTGAACTGGTGCAAAGAGGGGAATCCGAAGGCAGATGCGTATAGCACGGCGTTGAATTCTCTCCGGTGTGCCTCGCTGTTGCTGTGTGGTGTTGGAGAGGGCAAGGCTGCCATATTCGAGAACGGGTCGGATGTAGGTCGTGTATATTAACAATAGGCTGGAAGCGCTCATTGTGCCACGTGTCTTGTGGAGCTGGTGTAGTAGTTTTTTGGCTTTGTGGTGGTTTCTATAATGTGTTGGGTCCATAGCATATCGTCTTGAGGTGTAACACCAAGGTGCCTATGTTGGTGGACCTGCTGCAGCCGAGTCGAGTGGAGCGTGATGTGGATGGTGTGTTGGGTTGGAAGGAAAGGACGACGGTTTTTGTGGTGTTGACGAGGAGATGCCAATCCTTCAACCATTGTCCTGCGGCGTCCACGGCACGTTGGAGGAATGCAGCTGATAAATCCCTCGTGTAATGCGTCGCGATGAGTGACAGCATGGCACTGGTAGACTATCAAGCAAGGCTTACATAGTGCGTGTCGGTTGTAGTGTCACGGTGGTCGTGTAGAAGAATACTTATACTGTCAATATAACAAGAAAGAACTCAGTTACAAAGGAAACGCTGAGCCTTTACGAAGCTTAGGAAAGAGTCGCGCATTTCATGGGCAAGAAGTAAGGATGCCATCAACTTTACATGATAATAATTGTATTGTACTTGCTACTACTTGGATATGTATACTGAGGAAAGAAAAGTTGTATTTCTCGCGAAACATTTTCAGTTGCAAATATGGCATCTGGTGTGTTCTTTATTGTCGCTTCTTTTCCTGACTTCTTCAGTCAGTTTTGAGTCTCGCCAGTGTGTGCCAGTACAGTCGTCCCTCTCTAATCCGGCACTTTATAATCCAGCACCCTCGATAAACCAGCACAATTTTCAGTAGCCAAAATGTCTTCTTCATGTACATTGCAGCAGTAAATCAGATTTGTTAATCCAGCACCCTCCCTAATCCAGCAGATTTTCGTGGCACAAATGGTGCCGGATTATAGAGGGACCACTGTATATGTGGAGCGAGAAGGACCAGTGAACTACAAGTTACGCTCCAGTTTCCACTAACACCAATAGTTACTTGACAATCAGCTCATGCGATAACATTGCACAACACTGACCAACGGTTATACCAATGTTATCGCATGAGCTGATTGTTTAGTAACTGGTCAGGGTGTTAGTGGACATTACACGCTAACTAATGTAGTTCCCACGGTCCTTTTCTTTCCTATTAATCGATTCTACAGCATCCTCCCGGAATCAAAGAGTCCTCGTGTTTTCATCAGTGTGCATCTCAGCTCGTTTCTCCCAAACTCTATTCGCTCTATAAGCAACGTGCGTGCCATGTGTGCCAAGTCGGACGAGGTGATGACTGTGTTCTGCAATTCTTCCCCGATCCCCAGGGTTACCATTTATAGAGTCATTCACTAAATTCGGAAGTTACCACCATACTCGTTACAGCGTGAACCCCGCAGGAGTAAAGTAGCTCCGCTTTACCCGTTCTCTGTGAAGGTTCCACCTTGTGCTGCTCAATAATCTGGCGTATACACACCTCCTGCGCATGCATCATGCATGTAGTACGCGTACCTATATTGCATGTACCAGAAAACAGTGACTTTGGCACTTGCATACTGTGCAAGTGCCCACTGGACTTGTAATGGCAAGTAATGTGAACTATTTTTAACCCATCCAGTACAGTGCGAAATCCAGCAAGTGTCGAGGCATAGGCTTGAGTTGTAGAACCGTGATCCAGGAGAATGATACTATTAATATTACTAGGCTAGGTTTCCTGGTTCATTTCAGAATCCAGTTGAGTTCTTTCCTGGTTTCCACGCTTTGTTATAAAGTGATTCGAGATTCCAGGTGGCCAAGTGTGCTTTTGCTTATATAATTATGGTTATCGGCAGACCCATACCAGCTCTGATCATTACACTTGGTGCAGTTTGAGTTCGCAGCGTCAACACTGCCTCGCCATGCCTAACGTCTAGCCATGTTTAGAAGTTGCAGCTCAAGGACATTTACGGATTTTAACTTGACAAGTGCGAGACAACTGTCCAGGTGCTCAAAGAGGTCGCCAAGACTCTATAACCTGAATATTCTCCTCCTTCGCAATGCCAAGGACAAGTAAGAGGACGAAGAAGTCTGCCAAAGTGTTCCACAGCAAGGCTGCCAACCGGGTTGCGCCAGAGGCAGAAGATCAGAAACAGAAGCTGTTGGAACGAGCTGAGGAGGCGTACAGTGCAGTACAGTCTGTGTTTCCACGTTGCCAGCGACGACATGATGTGTTTCTAGAACAGGTTCGTACTACGAGCACTGAATGTGTAGATGTCTTTCGTTCTTGCCTCGTAATGCATCACAGTACTCACCAGAGCGTGTATGAATATCTACAGGCATGCGGAGCATTTGATGCAGCTCTTCAAGCGGATAGTCAAACAGCAAAATCTCCTGAGGCACCCATCTATGTCGAAATAATTCCTGGACACTGCTTCAATGAATCTCTTCTAGGGCCCGTTACTTTTATATGTTGCTTACAGCGCAAGCTTTCAGCATTTGACAGCATTTTCCAGGACGTGTTCAGCGATGATCCAGGTCAATTGCGCATAAAAGAACCTCCACAGAAGTTTCGCATCTTGAAGGATTCTACTGGAGAAGCATGTTTCCTGCCAAACGATTTGGGATTCATGGCGCAATTCTGGTATGTGTTCCATGCCCTACAATGCATTGTCGATACCATTGCGACCCATGTACCGAAATCCAGGGAATATCTCTGTGAAATAGCTTCATTGGAGATGATTGAAGTCTTGGAGATGTACTGTTCCTGCTATGATGGTGATCTGTTGCTGTTGAAGAGTGAGGAAGGAGGTGAGCATACCGATTTGAACGAATTCAGTGTGGCATCTTCAGATCTCTTCAGTGCCAGTGAGTTCTTACCCTTCTTTGATGACGCATCCACAATACTCGCTCAATTTTTCCTCATCGTGGATATGTGCGTTGGGAAAGAATTGAGTAGTAGTGCTGTGTGTCGTAGTAGTGATGAGTGGAAGTCT